AGCAGGAATCTGTGACTGTGGTGCAGGTAGTGCGGACACCCTGTATCACGTGACCTTTGAATGCAATCTTTTTCCGGAGCCTAGAAATCTTTTAATGTTTCCTTTGCTCCAAAACAGAGATCATACAGAGACATCACCTCTTTTATTAGAAGTTAACAGCAGACCTATCACTCTTTCGGCTGTAAAATTTTACGCATCTGCGATAGATTTTCGCGGCCATTCAAATGGGGTCTAGCCTTTTCTGTACTTTAGCAATCTGCTTAAAACTATTAAGTTACGAAGCAGTATGAGGTAGTGTAGTAGTTAAACACGTAAATCCATACAAAAAAATTCAAACAGATGGGCTCTGTCTCTCTCTACTAAATGGCGGGACAGGTGTCTGAAAAACAAACGGGGATCACAGAGTCAAAACCCCCAAACGAGCAATCACTGTGATTTATGGCTACTATGTTTTATAATTAATAAAAACACATATGGTCCTAACGGGGGAAGAGGGGTTCCTGCCTTCTCTCACATGCCATTTTCCAGAGCCGAAACAGCTGAGGGGGACACGATTGGCCCATCAAATGGCTGTACCTGCACTGAATCCCTGCACATGCGGTCCTCTGAAGGGGCAAATAATGCCCCCACTATGGCACTATTTTGGGTCAGGAAAAGGCGGTGGGGGAGGAAGGAGCCCCTTCTCCTCCAGCATCACAGTCCCAAGCCGAATTGGGTCCCTGTGATGGCCGCTAAACAAGAGTTCCCACTGGGAACCTGCCACTGGTGTATGGCTCCCAGTCCCCGTGGAGACCATGTGACAAACATCCCGTCTAGTTTGGCCCACAGAGCACTGGACACCGGATAAATTGCTTAAATGCTACACTAATGTCTCTGGAAATTGTTGGAAGTGTAAGAATAACATAGGAACGTATATTCATATCTGGTGGAGGTGTGAGAAAATACAAAAATTCTGGAAAAGTATTAACCAGTTAATAGAAGAAATTACAGGAATCAATTTGCCAATCACAACAGAAATTTTTTTTTTGCTTAATATCACACCAGAGGGGATTAAACATAATGAGTTATCTATTATACTGTACGTAGTTACAATCTAAAGAATAACAATAGCAAAGAATTGGAAAACAGACAGAATACCGACTAGGGAAGAGTTGATTACGAAGCTTTTTGAAATAATAGAAATGGATACGCTGAATATGTACTTGGCGGGAAAAACAGAAAGAAACTTTAAGCAAAAATGGCAAAAAGTCAATAAGTGGATTGAAGAAAATGTCTCATGTAACCCCAGAATGTTGGAAAATATATGGAGTGTATGTTATGGAAAAACTAAAATAAAATGTTTTTAAAAAAAATAGTTTGGCCCACAGGAGCTTCCGAAAACAAGAACGGAGCATCACCTTCCGAGGCCTCCTGCCAGGTGCGGAGGTGTCGCTGCTCACACTCTCTCGATGGTTCAGGTGAGCAAAAGGCCGGGCAGCGCCCCAAGACTCCAAATATCGGGTCATCCGGACGGAGGCTCTGATCTTCAGCCCGTCATGCACTCTGGCTTCGGAGATCTGATGGTTATTGGAGGAACGCTGCTTGGACTGAAACCAGGGTGGGGGGGAACACACATGCATTTTAAGAGGGTAAAAAAAAAAGGAAGCACATCCTTGAGTTTTGCAATCAGTCGTTTTGACATATCCATGCATCCCCTACGGGCAGAAACGCAGGAAAAGGACCCAACTAAGAATTTTAGCATGTCATGCTGGAACACAAAGGCATATGTCGATTGCTAGTGGAAATCTGACCTGCCTCCCCACACACAAGAAAGGCTATGACTTACATGTAGGGAGTCTACTTGGTGTGCAAGAAGTCCCAGGTTCAATCCCCAGCATCTCCAGCTGAATGGACTGGTTATTTGGTGTAGTGGTTAAGTGTGAGGACTCTAATCTGGGAGAACCGGGTTTGATTCCCCACTCCTCCACTAGCACCTGGCTGGATGACCTTGGGCAAGCCGTAGCTCTAATAAGAGCTGTTCTTGAAAAAGAGCCGTTTCTGTCAAGAGCTCTCTCAGCCCCACCTTCCTCACAGGGTGTCTGTTGTGGGAGGGGAAGGGAAAGGAGTTTGTAAGCCACTCTGAGACACCTTTGGGTAGTGAAGGGCGGGGTATAAATCCAATCTCTTCTTCTTCTTTTACCTCACAGGGTGTCTGTTGTGGGGAGGGGAAGGGAAAAGGAGATTGTGAGCCGCTCTGAGACACCTTTGGGTAGTTGAAGGGCGGGGTATAAATCCAATCTCTTCTTCTTTTACCGCACAGGGTGTCTGTTGTGGGGAGGGGAAGGGAAAAGGAGATTGTGAGCCGCTCTGAGACACCTTTGGGTAGTTGAAGGGCGGGGTATAAATCCAATCTATTATTATTATTATTATTATTATTATTATTATTATTATTATTATTATTATTATTATTAGGGGATGTGAAAGCCCTAAGACCCTGGATATCAGCTGCCCAGTTCTGAGTAGACAATATTGATGATGATGGACCAATGATCTGATTCAGTATAAGGCAGCTCCATATATTCACATGGTAAGTATGTGAATGGGTAAAACAAAACTTCAAGAGGGTTCAAGAGGGAATTAGATAAATATATGAAACAGAGGTCCATCAGTGGATATTAGCCACAAAGTATGGATAGGGACTCTGGGGCAGGTGGTGCTCTGTATTCTTGGTGCTTGGGGGCGGGGTCAACAGTCCTGGCCCCAGGGCTATTTTCGGGCAGGAACGCACAGGAACGGAGTTCCGGCTGGCTCCCGAGTTGGCCACGCCCAGCAGGAACTCATTAGCATAACAGGCCCCACCCAACAGCAGGAACTCATTAGGATTGGCTACATTAGGGGTGTGTGGCCTAACATGCAAAGGAGTTCCTGCTACAAAAAAAAGGCCCTGGGTTTTGACCACAAACAAGGTCAACAGAATAAGAAGCAAAAGGTGGGTGTGGCTGGATGACCATACTTCTGGTAACATGGGTGTGTGGCCTAATATGCTAATGAGCTGTGCTGTCAGGGCTGTGGCCTATTATGCTAATGAGTTCCTGCTGGGCTTTTTCTACAAAAAAAGCCCTGTCTGGACCCACTGGTGGACCTCCTGATGGCACCGGATATTTTTGGCCACTGTGTGACAGAGTGTTGGACTGGATGGGCCATTGGCCTGATCCAACACTTGCTTCTCTTATGTTCTTAACTCCCATGGGCCAATATTCTTCCCTAGATACGGTCATGGAATGAAGCTTTTATTAGCTGATTCTTAAGAACATCAGAAGAGCCCTGCTGGATCAGACCAGTGGTCCATCTAGTCCAGCATCCTGTCTCACGCAGTGGCCAACCAGTTCCCCTGCAGGGCCAACAACGGGGTGTAGAACTGCCCCTGATGTTGTCTCCTGGCACTGGTATTTACCGCCTCTGAACATGGAGATAGATCAAGATGGGTAGCCGTGTTAGTCTGTCTGTAGCAGCACAAAAGAGCAAGAGTCCAGCAGTACCTTAAAGACTAACACTATTTGTGGCAGGGTAGGAGCTTGCGTGAGTCACTGCTCACTTCTTCAGATATCTGCAGAAGCGAGCAGTGAATCACGAAAGCTCACACCCTGCCACAAATTTTGTTAGTCTTTAAGGTGCTACTGAAGGTGAAACTGAAGCTCAAATACTTTGGCCACCCAATGAGAAGGGAGCACCCACTGGAGAAGACCCTGATGCTGGGAAAGATTGAAGGTCCAAGAAGACGGGGACGGCAAAGGATGAGATGGTTAGACAGTGTCATAGATGCAATGAACATGAAATTGAGCAAACTTCAGAGGACGGCGGAAGACAGGAAGGCCTGGCGTGATCTGGTCCACGGGGTCGCGGAGAGTCGGACTCGACTGTGCGACTGAACAACAACAACAACAAAGGTGCTACTGGACTCTTGCTCTTTTCAATTGCCTCTGAACATGGAGGTTCCCTTTAGTCACCATGGCTGTTAGCCACTGATAGACCTATCCTCCATGAATCTGTCTAACCCTCTTTTAAAACTGCCTATGCCTAATCCCTAAAATTAATTTGAAAAGAGGGAGGGGGAGAGAGAAGAGCAGGAATTCAGACTGGAACGAACTCTGCACAGCTTACAGGCCCATTACCCACAGATGTAGCTTTGCCCTCACTGCGGCTGGACTGCTACCCTCTATTATGAAGAAAACACCATGTGCTTATCAGGCAACAGAAGCTGAGATCTTGACCAGGTGTTGTATTTGCTGCTGTTTAAACACACACACACCTTTCTCTCTCTCTCTCTCTCACACACACACAGCCTTTTCAGCCAAGTTCAATCACATATTAATCGCAAACCGATTTCAGTCATCTTTGTTAGCAGGGAAGCGTTAAGGCAGAAGAGGCGTGGACGGGGGTGGGGGCTCCAGTCTGAGCTTTAGAAATCGCCTTTCGGCAAGACAAAAACGCCGTTTGGGGAGCCGAGCCGAGCAAACCGGATTGGCCCCAGAGCGCCGCTGCTCTTCTTAATTGCCCCCCTCAGAATGTCAGTATAGCTGCACTTAGACAGAAGGTGGGTGGCTTCCAGCTTATTCTTTTTAATTACACACAGTTAAAGAACAGCCTTTTCTGGATACTTGTTGAAAGGCTCCTTGGAGACCGAGCTCTAAAAGTTATTGGCTCGTGGTGGAGCTGCAGTCCCTGGCAACTGAACGTCTAACGCTGTAGCCCTGTTACACAGTCCCCAACCCCGACACCCCCCCCCACACTGTCCGCATTCCTCTCTTGCTTGGTTGGGATTGCCAGTTGCCTGGAGGGGGGGGGGGAGTCCTGTCCCTTTAACAGAGGCTTAATGGGTTGTTATTTAATGCCACAAGGAGGAGAGGTCAAAGAATAGGGACCCCAAGCGTATGCGATATGCAGAAATACAAACTGCAAGGGTAGCCCCATCAAAAAAAATTCACAAATTTCACAAGTTACCAGTAGACATCAGTCTCTTGCAGCATAATTACAGTCAATCAATAAAGAATCGGTGGTCACGATTCAAAAACAAGTTGCAACACAAAGCATTTCTCTCCTGTTAAATGCTTTGTACTGCAACTTGTGACCACCCATTCTACTTTATTTATTTATTGTGTTGCAATAGACTGATGGCTACTGGTAACATGTGAAATCTGTGAATTTTCTTGATGGTCTACCCTTGCGGTTTGTACAAGGAGGAGTGGGGCTGTGGCTCAGTGGAAGAGCCTCTGCTTTGCAATGCAGACGGTCCCGGGTTCAATCCCCGGCAGTGTTCCCTCTAAGCTGAGCTAGTGTGAGGTAGCTCACAGGTTTTTAGCCTCCGGCTCACACATTTTTGTCTTAGCTCAGGAAGGAGGGCTCCAGAGCAAACTAATTTATGCAGCAGCCAAATCGCTCGCTCACAACTTTAATGCCAGTCACTCACAAAGTAGAATTTTTGCTCACAAGACTCCATAGCTTAGAGGGAGCACTTTCCCTCAAGTCTTTGATGACCATTGCTTCCTCCGTTTTCCTTCAATCGGCCTACTTCTGGTTTCCTCTTTTACCTGCTGGGTCCGTTTCCTTCTCTGTTTATCAGATACGAACTCTACAACCTCTGCAGAATTTCAGTCTCTGTCCCTTCTCCTTCTGCTCCCCCCATTCTAGTGTTGTTCCTGTCAGCCAAGCTGTTTAACCTGCTCCCTCACCAAATGCAGCCTGCTTCCTCCGCAGCAGTTGGAATGCGATGACATCACAGCACGTAAGCCAATGGGGTGGGGAATATGCAAAAATATACCTACCCTTGGATCAATCACCAAGTAAGTTGTGATATTCATGGCTTTGAGGTATGGGTCTCTTAGGTGCCCATTGCCTTCTTCCACTTCGTAGGCTTTGCCTAGGTGATTTAGCGTCGCTTCAGTGATGTGAACACGACTGGAAAGGCAAAGAGAGGGAAACACAAAGGACTTAAACTTCTTTCCCCCTCCAGAAAGGTCACTGTAAGTGATTCATTTCCATATCAATGGCTGTTGTTGACATGTCTGTGCTTCTCAACAGCTTCACGCCTTGGCAGCCAATGCCAGGATCCTGGCGGCTGTTGCTACTTAACAGCTTTGCTTGTTGGCAATCCATCACGGTGCGTTCCTCTCTAACTGTGTGTAGTCTTTCCCACTGCAAAAGTCAAAATAACTGCAGCCAAATACATTATTTCCCACAAATTGAGCAACAACAGTCATACGTCCAGAAGGAAAATCCATGTAAAGCTGTTTATTAGGACCAAAGAAACACACACACAGGGATAATGCCCTGTTATAGTACAGTCCTAAGAACTCTTTCCTGGGAGTATCACTAAACAGACCCGAATAGGATTCTCAGTATAGTTGGTTAAGTATTGTACCTTTGGGACTGCCTCTCTCAATATGTCCCTGGAAGAGCGCCTGGAAGAGCGTTAAGCTCCGGCAATAAGAATCTGCTCATGGTCCCCTGCTCAAGAGAGGTCCCCGTCTGTCCTCGACTAGGGCCAGGGTCTTTTTGGCCCTGGCCCCTGCCTGGTGGAACTCTCTGCCAGAAAATATCGGGGCCCTACGGGAGTTACTACCAGGGGTCATTTCCTGCAGGAGCGCACAGGAGCGGAGCTCCGGCAGTAAAGAGCCCAGGGGGTGGGCACATGCAACAAGCCCCACCCCCTGCTCCCAGCAGCCCTCAGGCAGAGAAATAAGCAGCCAGGTAAGTTGCAGAGTTCCCCCAGCCCCCCTGGTCCAAAACAGTCCAGTGGCACCTTTAAGACCAAGTTTTATTCAGGTACAAGCTCTCCCTCCTCTGTGAGGACAGATCTGCACGTTCCCCCCCCCACACTACTTTTATCCAAAACAGTCCAGTGGCACCTTTAAGACCAAGTTTTATTCAGGTACAAGCTCTCCCTCCTCTGCGAGGACAGATCTACACGTTCCCCCCCCCAATAGCTAGCAATCCAAAGCAGTCCAGTGGCACCTTTAAGACCAAGTTTTATTCAGGTACAAGCTCTCCCTCCTCTGCGAGGGCAGATCTGCGTGTCCCCCCCCCCAATAGCTAGCAATCCAAAACAGTCCAGTGGAGCCTGAGTGGTGGGTGTTGCCTTCTGACACACTTCCGGTGATGCCAGGGGGTGTGGCATATGCAAATGAGTTAAGCTATTGAGTTATGCTAATGAGCTCCTGCACCTCTTTTTCTATGAAATGACCCCTGGTTACTACCTTTCCACAGGGCCTGCAAGGCAGAGACGTTCTGCCAGGCCTTCGGTTGAGGGCGAGGACTGTTTGGTACTCTCATCCCTCCTACCCAGCCCTCCACACCCCTTTACTCAAGGAGCTGGTGGGAACAGAGATTTTTTCTCCATCTTAAATAACGAGGTTGTATTGTTTGAAGTATACCCTCCGGCCCAGCCCTCCACGTGCCTTCACCCAGAACAGAAATTGTTCGCCATCTCCGGTAATGAAATTGTATCTGGAAATATATTGTTTTCAGTAGGCTTTAATGTTATTTAATGGTGTATCATCAAATCCTAGAATCGCAGAGTTGGAAGGGGCCCTACAGGCTATCCAGTCCAACCCCCTGCTCAGTGCAGGACCAGCCGAGAGCAACCCTGACAAGGGTTTGTCCAGCTGCTGCTTGAAGACTGCCAGGGAGGGGGAGCTCACCACCTCCCGAGGCAGCCGATTCCACTGCTGCACGACTCTTACTGTAAAAAAGTTTCCCTTAAGATCCAGTTGGTACCTTCCTGCCCTTAATTTAAACCCATGATTGCGACCCGGCAGTGTTCCGTCTAAGCTGAGTTAGTGTGAGCTAGCTCATAGTTTTTTAGCCTCTGGCTTACACATTTTTGTCTTAGCTCAGGAAGGATGGCTCCAGGCCAAACTAATTTAATGCAGTAGCCAAATTGCTTGCTCACAACTTTAATGCCAGTAGCTCACAAAGTAGAATTTTTGCTCACAAGACTCCACGGCTCAGAGGGAACCTTGATTGCGAGTCCTGTCCTCTGCTGCCCACAGGAACAGCTCCCTGCCCCCCTCCGAGTGACAGCCCTTCAAATACTTCAAGAGAGCCATCACGCCCCCCCCCCTCGACCGCCTCTTCTCCAGACTGAACATTCCCAAGTCCCTCAGCCTTACAGAATCATATTATCATGTTTGTTTTTGAGGTAAGTCGCCCTGAGCCCTGCTTGCAAGGGTAGGGCGGCCTAACAAGTTGGACTGAATAAATAAAATAAATAAATAGTACTGTTGATATGCTCTATCAATCTTCTTGGATGGCCTACAGTTATCTGTTCCCCACAGCCATCTGAGCATCTTCATACAGCATTAAGGCTGCCAGCCTCCAGGTGGGGCCTGGGGATCTCTCGCTTTTACAACTGATCTCCAGCTGACAGAGATCAGCTCCCCTGGAGAAAATGGCTGCTTTGAAGGGTGGACTCTGTGGCATTGGGCCATGCTCAGGCCCCTCCCCTCTTCAAACCCCGCCCTCTCCCGGATCCACCCCCAAAGTCTCCAGGTATTTTCCAACCCAGACTTGGCAACCCTATACAGCATACCTGACCCAGGCATAACCTGGGGAGGCTTACCCACACCCTTTGGACAGCCCTGTCAGCCTCTCGTTGTCTTTTTTTTTTGCTTTTCTCTTAACCTTAACAAAAAATCTGTCCAAAAAAGTTACCCATATTAAAAGCGATAAAATAAAGTCTGCCGATCCCTCCCCTCCTCCTTGCCAAACGTCTGCCCCGAGAACCTTTGCGTGGCACGACCCATCTCTCCCCCCACTGAAAAGCCAACTTCTTCCATGAAGTCACCGGCTTAGCTTCTTCTGTCTTCGCTCCCAAACAACATAAAGCTTAAGGACGCGATATAATCGTTTTTCTTCCTTTTCCACTCTCCCTTTCTCCCCCACTTCAAGCTTCCCTCCCCATATGAAGTTTCTCTATGGCACGAACGCATCTCTTTTGCTTATGTAAGTCTTCAAAGTACCATGTATATTCATGGAGCTATGAATAATACTACATTACCATGTAGAGGTATTCAGCACAGCACACACATTTTATGCAGATAAATGTTAATTACATGCCTATTTGTCTTTCTCACACACAGAATCCTAGAATCATAGAATGTTAGAGTTGGAAGGGACCTTGCAGGTCATCTAGTCCAACCCCCTGCACTCTGCAGGAGTATACTGAAAGATAGCCCTACATACACACATGTATGTATATATGTATACATGTGTATATGTATATGTATAAAGTAAAGGTAAAGGTTCCCTTGCTCGAAAGCCAGTCGAATCCGACTCTAGGGTTGCGGTGCTCATCTCCATTTCAAAGCCGAAGAGCCAGCGCTGTACGAAGACGTTTCCGTGGTCATGTGGCCGGCATGACTAAACACCAAGGCTCACGGAACGCTGTTCCCTTCCCACTGAAGTGGTCCCTATTTATCTACTTGCAATTTCTTGCTTTCGAACTGCTAGGTTGGCAGGAGCTGGAACTAGAGATGGGAGCTCACTCCGTCATGCGGCACACCCGGGTCTTGAACTGCTGAACTACTGACCTTCCACAGCCTGCAGTTCAGCGTCTTAACCACCTGAGCCACCGCAGCTCAGTATATATACACAAGTGGGGGGACACTGTATATATACACAAGTGGGGGGACACACAAGGATTTTCCTCTTTCTCTTAGCTGAAAGCCCCCATAGCCTCTCAAGTTTTCCGGCCTCCTTCTCTCCTTCTCACCCACTGGCTGACCTATCTTCATTCCATCTTCCGTTTTTCTCCTTCCCTCCCCTTAGCAGCCTCTCCCTGAGAAAAGTCTGGATGAGATGTACAGTGCTGGCCGTCAAGCCAGGCCCAGTTGCCCAGTGAAGAACCCACAAGAACTTGTAAGAGGAATCTCTTTATTTCTTCTTTCCCTCCTCCTGGTAGCCCCCATATCCCCCCTCCTTTCCCTGCATCTACTCCCCTTCCCACCCACCAAACAACCTATCTTTTAACTGCCTTCTGTCTAAATATCTATTAACTACATTTATACCCCCGGCTTTCTCCATAGTGAAGACCCAAAGGAGCTTACACCATTCTCTTCCAGTTTATCATCACAGCAACTCTGTGAGATGGGTTAGGCTGAGTGTGTGACTCGCCCAAGGTCACCCAGCAAGCTTCCCTGGTAGAGCAGTGAATGGAACCTGGGTCTCCCAGATTGTAGTCTGAAACTCTAGCCATTATACCACACTGGCTTTTCTGGGGTGGCTGCTGTTGGAACAGTAGTGAACAACGGGGCCAGGTGAGTCATGCCAGTCATGTGGTGCTGCCACCAGCTGGGTCCCAATGGGTCCTCCCTCAAAGGTGCAAACAGCCCTGGAAGGGGCCCTGCCTCCTCCCCTTGCCTTTTACTGACAGAAAACCAAGGCGTGACGGCTGGCGATACTGTTGATTGCCTAGCAATGGCCAAAGAAGATATTTGTTTCTTAAAGCTATAGGCACTGCTTCTATTACTTGGGTTAACCACCCCACCCCAGTGTTTGTTTGTTTTTTAAGATTTAAGTTTTTTCCTGCAAACCTGGGGCTTTTCTCAGAATTGTAGAAACATCTGTCCTGTCTATTCATGGCTCCAGTCTCCAGGATTAAGTATCCACAGCTCTGGCCATTCTGAGAGTTAGATCTATTGATATATACTAGCTGCCGTCTGGAGATTTGATATAGCTCTCCCGTAGTGTTCAAATTGTCCATCCCAGTTTGGTTTCAAGGACAGTTTGCAAATGTGCCAAGAAACCCATCAACATGGATTTAGGTTTACACAGAAAACCCTCTTCCCCTTTGATCAAGTGGCTGAATAGCTCTTGAAACATGGCTGGAAGCTCTCAGGAGCAACGTCTATACATACACTGCACTGTACTATCAACCCAAGAGTTTACTCAGCTGGCTA